TTCCTCATCCCTCCTACTCCTCTCCCCTTTCGGCATGTTTGCTTGTGTGGAGGGAGGCGGGGCGTGGCGGAGTCCGACGCCGCACCTGGACTTCCACACAAGTCGGGACTCAGTGGCACGTTGGTTCGGCCCAGCGTTGTCTGAAAAGTTGGGACGTGACAACCCAGTGGACTTGCGAGAAACTTGATACCAAATCCTCTCCTCACCTGCTCAACCCTCATTCCTCCTCCTCCTTGTTCATCTCTCGTCGATCGTCGTTAATCCTCGCTCATCTCCTTTCCTCTTCGTTCCTCCCCTGAGTTACTCCATCATCCCTTCTCCCCTCTTTTCCTCATCCTGATCCTTACTATTCATTCCGTTTCCTACTGCTTCCTCATCTTTCGTGCTCATGCTCCTCTTCCTCCCGTGGCGTAGGAGAACTACCTCAAGAGCGTCGAGCGGAAGAGCGACAAGGAAACGCTTGGCCGCTGCGCCTACTCGGCAGACTTGATCACTTTGGGCGACATGATGAACACGCGCATCACCGCCAGCCAGGAGGCAACGCCAGGGGCAACGATAGAGGGGATAGGCTCAGGGGGAGGAGGAGGAGGAGGAGGAGGAGGAGGAGGAGGAGGAGGAGGAGGAGGAGGAGGGGCCTCGTTGCCGTGTAGGCCTGCTCCGCCTCGCCCTGACGGCTCAGGGGGGGCTGCACTGACCCCACGCTGCACACAGCTCGCCGAGATGGGCCCGTCGGTATCGCTCCCCATCCCCATCCCATTCGAGACTCCCGCCAGACTGTCCCCCCCCAGTTGGGGTCACGCCCCTCGAAGCCCGAAGGATGCGGCCCGTATCCCCATCCAGGGGGGTAGATCGGCCCGTGGGGCCCAGCCCACGCTGGTGGGGCTCGGTTGAGCGGTGCTCCGCCCGATGCCCCCCGCCCAGCAGCGTGCGGACTCGCCACCGGGGGAGCGAGGCGGCCCCTGGCGCCGCGCCCCTCTCCGCCCGCGTGTCGATAAGGCCATGTGCCGCACGACACGGCGGCTCCGCGGGGCAGAGCACAGCTGCTGGGCAACGACGCTGAAGCGCTGTGCTTGGCCGTACGTGGGGCCTGTCCTTCTACAGGGGGGGAGATTCAGAAATATGTTTTGGGGGACGATGTTTTTCCATTATTTTTGGACCATCTGCGTTTATTTTGGTGTATGTTTTAAACATTTTTCTGACAAAATCCGCCTGTAGGGGGACATGGCCGACCTAAGCTTAGCCGTACGTGGGGCCAGCGGAACAGCATCAGAGCCCCGAGTCATCATGGGTAACCCGGGTCAGGGCTAAATCGGGCTCGTTTTTCGGAAGTCCGAGCCCGAGTTGCCCCGGATAGTTCGGGCGTCCAGAGCCCCGAATCATCATGGGGTAACTCGGGTGAGGGCTAACTCGGGTTTGTTCTTCGGAAATCCAAGCCCGAGTTACCCAGGGCCCGAGTTACTTCGGATAACTCGGGCGCCCAAAAGCAGTGCTGGTTATCAACCGGTTTCCAAAATTGCTGTGGCAAACGGTACCAATGTGCAACAACAAATTTGCGGATGTCCGCGCGGATCCTTAGGATCGACGCTGGACCCCCATGGTTGCGCCTACGGCGCAGCACATGGCGCGCGCAGCGCGCAAAGGAGGGAGATACAGCGCCGATCCCAGAAATCGGCGCAGACTTCCGAAAGGTTGTGTTGATGACGACGTTTCCGGTCCCACTGGCCCAGCGTCGTGGGGAAGCCAGCATCTCGGCGGCGTCGAAGTGGGGGGCGATGTCTTAGGGGGGGGCATATCATGGCGGGGCCAGGATACCTCCCTTTAGGCTGCGTCCCCTGGTTATCCCCCTCGTCGGGCATCTGCCCTGGGGCACAATTTCTTGGCATCGCTCGGGCGTGCGCCTTTTTCTTTCCAAGGACTATCGAAGGTTATTTTGAGTCATCCTGCGAAAATGCGCGCACGAGTGCACGGGGAGTGGACGTCCGAGCGATGGCGAGATGTGCGCTCCCCTCCCCCGATGGTGGCCGGAGACCAACACGTCCATTCACGGGCGCCCCGTGCATCCTCCACCGACTACCCAGAAGGAGCCCTACGCGCCACTGTCACGGGAGAAAGAGAGGAGGAGGGAGGAGGAGGAGCGGGGGTAAGGAGGAGGAGGGGGGGGAGGACAAGTTAGGTGCGCTCGCGTCATAGCTGACATCCTACCCCTCCCTCCCATCCCTCACCATGGCGCAGATCCCCTCTCTACTCGCACAGTCGGATGTCAAGCAGGGCGATGATCCCGAAAGGGTACGCGATGCATTGTAGAGCACGGCATGGCATGGCGTAGAAGAGCACCGCGAAGCATAGTATCAACCTGGCATTGCATTGCATGCCGTGGCATGGCGCGGGGGAGGAGGAGGGGGAGTAGGAACCGCGATCGCCCGATCACTCCCATTTGCCCCGCAGGGATGGCCGAAGCGGCGGCCGGCGCGGCCTTCACAGGCCCATCAGCTCCGCGATGTCCAGAACATCACCCTTGACTATGGGAAAAGCACACAAAACACACAAAACACACACGTCTGTGGGAAGAAACACACACATACACACACTGTGGGAAAACACACACACACTGTGTGTGTTTGTGTGTGTGTGTGTGTTTTGTGTGTTTTGTGTGTGTGTGTTTGTTGTGTGTATGTGTGTGTTTTTGTGTGTCTTGTCTCTCGCATCCCGTGAAAGATGGATGGATGGATGGATGCATGGAGGCTTTCTGCGGGCCCCCCGTGTCTTGGGCGCCCCCCTCTTGGCCGCGCCGGGGAAGCCCAGATCGAAGCCTCGCCCTCCCCCCCCTGGATCACGGCATGGCGCGGCTAACACTGGCCTGCGGGGGAATCAACGTTGTTGCTGAGGAGTGTCCTGTGATTTAGGCCTCTCAGTATCGCCATCCCGCCACCCCAGCTTGCGATGTGCCCTTCGCAACTCGAAGGGAACAGCCCATACCCCCATCGAGGGGTTTAATTGGTCAGCGGGGCCCAGGCCACGCCCGTGGGCATAGGGATCCGTTGAACGATGCTCAACCTCGCAAGCCCGAGCCTCCCAAACCCTGAGATCCTCGCGTCGCCAAAACATCGCTTCGGCGAGGGTTCGCAGAAGTTCTGCTCTCAGGGCCCCTTCACGGACCGCCAACCAAAGTTTCGGGACGAGAGGCTCGCCCCGGGGAAGGTCCAGACCTCTGGGGAGCAAAACCACGACGTCGGATGCCTGGGAGATGGGATCCGAGCGTATGGGGGCAGATAGTCGCGTTGCCGATGCCTTGCCAATGCGGCTCGATGTGGAGCCCGACCTTATCCACGCCGATCCGCTGCATCGTCGACGTCGCCGATGCATCGCCGATGCATCGGTGATGCATCGATGCATCGACAATGCTCAGAGCCCCGAATCATCAGGGCTTGGGCGGCGGTCAGGGATAGCTACACATTCGCGCCTCGGGGGCCCAAACGGGAGTTACCCTGGACCGCAGGTATCCCGAATAACTCGGAAGGGCGCCCAACCCTCCAGAATCATCACAGTTGGGGAGTCAGGGGTAACTACAGAGTCGCGCCTCGTTGGCCCACACCCGAGTTGCCCCGGACAGCAGTCATCCCCGATATGTCGGGCGGGCGTCCAAGATGCGGCGCGATCCTCCGATCCCATCTGCTGTGTCCCCGTGCGGGGGCCCCCTGGTGAAGGCTGGGTAGTCGAAGGCCAGACTGTCAGATTGGATTGGGCCCCCAGGGCCAATCTGGCCCGGTCAAACTGGATGATTTGGGTTATTCGCCAGACTGGATTCGCGTTGGCTCCCTCGCCAGATTGCCCCCGTTTGCCAGATTGGGCCTGCCAGATTGGCTTCGACTACCCGGGAAGGAGAAACCACAGGTCCTGAGGCGAAAGTGTCGAAACGCGTGGCCCTGAGGCGAAAGGGTCGAGAGATGCTGGCAGCTCTCCGGGGCCCACTCCGATCCGATCGGTCCTCGGGGGCGGAAGAGAGGGGGGACTAGGGGGGGGGGGATATCATGGCAATCCTCGGGGGCGGAAAAGGGGGGGGGTGATGACTAGGGGGGGTGGATATCATGGCGGGGGCCATGAGATTTCCCCAGATTTCATGGCGCCTCTTCTTGTTTCATTACGTCCCCGGCCCCCCCCCTGGGCCGCGCACATGCCGCCGGTCATGATTTGCACCCCCCCCGCTTGGACACCCCCCTCTTGGCCGCTCCGGAGATCCGGTTCGATGTCGTTTTCGGCCAGCTCGATCCGATTCGATTCCGATGTTCTGTCGATCCGATACGGGCCGATGTTTGCTTGACGCTATTTTTGCATCCTGGCCAGAACAGCGGGCCCCAGGAAATGTCTAGGCCCACGGCCTTGCATTTCTGAGTCGCAAATCCGCGTTGTCATCCTGCTTGATTTGGCTGCTCTTTGGCCTGCATGCGTTTCCAACTGTGATCCTCACAATTGCAAGCCCAGAGTGACTTCCAAGAAGTTCCCACCTCCCCTCCTGGGTGGGCCGAAAGTAGTTCCAGTTTCTTTGGCCTACCCACCGTCTTCGATATCCTGCTGCATTCCCTCCTCGCATATTCGGAGGCGGGAACATGACCATGATACTATGTTCGCCAACGACACCGCGCACAGTACATTGGACATGATTGAGGGCAGATTCGCCAACGTGAGACGTTCATCAACATATGTAAACGTCGTTTTGGGCCAAGGCCTGTATACCTAAGTGTGTGTAGCTGAGTGTATATAGGTCGAGAAATCTGTATCCCACATCTTAAGGATCAGTGCGTTTCCTCTTCCTACGCCCCCTCCTCTTTACCATTCTTCTTTTTATGCTCGTCAGCCTCCTCTCCTAGATCGAGTCCTTAGCCTTGTTTGGTTCGCGTTTCGCTGCCTCAGAGCTGGCGGCTGGTTCTTGCGGAGGTGGCCGTGACTGGACCCACAACATATTTTCTGTGTGGCGGGGGCGCGCACGCGACGAGCTCGCGCACATGGTGAACATGTCGGACATCTTCACGGCGGTAAAGTCCGTCTGCTCGGTGTGTCTGTTGTTGTTCTCCGTCGTCGTCGTGATGGCCCTCATCTACGCGGGGGACACGAAGCTCTCCCGGGACGGGCACCCCGTGGTCGCCTTCGTTGTCATCTGGGTCGCCACAGTGTGGCTCGCGGTGGTCGAGGGAGGTCAGGCCTCTCTGGTCGGACTCCCTCCCATCCAGCCGAACCTCTACAAGGACAGTCATCCAATCACTCACCGCATCACTGCGCTTGCTCACAGGGGCGACAACCTCAATCGTTACCTCATCGGGCGGCAGTTCTTGGTTGTCCTGATCGTCTTCGTGACAAACATGTCGGGCGCCCCGCTCAGAGATGCCACTGTCCTTGGTTTGCCCGACGTGCTTCAGGATGTATTTTTGTCGTCAGGTTTGGCTATGATTTTGATGTTGGCCATGATCGGCCAGCTTTCCGCTCAAGTTAATGCTTCACACTGCATGCTTGATTTCATCAATTCCTATGTCGCATTGGCAACGCTCTACGTAGCATTGGCAATTGAGTTCTCTGGTATCGAAGGCGCCTACGGCGAATCACCGCCGCCCCATGCCTTCTAGACTCGCACATGTGGCCGAGCGTTGTGGCAATAGCTCTGCCAAGCTATTAGACCATGTGCTCCTCCAACCGTTGTGGCAACCCTTCTGAGAACACTTGGGGGAGGATGGCGGGAAGATCAAGAGGAGGCGGAGGAGGTGGAGAAGGAGGAGGAGGAGGGGGCATATTGCGAGCCTTTGGGGATACTCTTGGGGCCTTCCTGGCGGCCTCTTGGGGCATGTTGTGGGCCTCCTTGGGCATCTTGGGGGCCTCTGGGGCTTCTCGGGAACCTCTTTGGCCGTGTTGGTGGGCTCCTGGCCCGTCTGACGCCGTCGGAAGCCGTCTTGGGTGCCTTTCTGGTCCGACTTGTGGCTCTCTTGGGGTGCTCCAGGGCCGTCTTGGAGGCCATCTTGGGCGTCTTGGAGGCGTCTTGGGCCATCGTTGGGCCATCTCGGGGCCGTCTTGGGGGCCTCTTGGGCCGTTCTGGGGCCATTTTGGAGGCCACTTGGGCGATCTTGGGGTGATATTTGGGGGCTCCTGGGCCGTCTGGGAGCGTCGGAAAGCCGACCGAACCGGCGAGAACGCCATAATCCTTCGCACTGGTTTTGGCTTCTTGGGGCCTTCTCTGGAGGCCTCGTGGAGGCCTCTTTGGGTGTCTGTGGCCGTCTGGGGGCAATCGTGAGCGTCTTGGAACGATCGTTCGGCGACTCGGGGCCCTCTTGGCTTGGACCGTCTCGGGGGCTTCGTGGGCCATCTTGGCCCATCCTGGGGTCCTCTTGGGCCCGAACAGTTCACGCGATAACACTTCCCAGAGCCCATGGAGGCAGACGGGAAGCCCGAAGGGGCACGCGGGAAGCCCCAAGAGATTTCAACATTTTGGGACTGGGCCTCTTGCATACTCCGCAGGGGAGAGGTTTTGCGCTTAGAGGGCTAGGCAAAGGACCGGAGGACGCGCCCACTCCGTGCCCAGAGGCACGGTGGCGGATCCTGCATTCAGCATACCTCATTCGGTGGATGGTTGAGAAACTCGCACGTAGACCAGCGACATCCACTAGCAAGTCGAGCAGTGGTCTGCAGCGTTTTCTCTTCGCTGGGCGCATCGTCTTGTCACTATGTATATTGGGCTTCGCCTTGGCGGTGACGATGTCTGCTTTATTCCAAGGGAAGACGACCATGTGGCCGGGTGTTCCAGAGGTGGTCTCTGTGCTCCTTTTCCTCTTTCTCATGTCGGTCGTCGGCATGCTCGAGGGTGCACAGATTGCTTTCTTTGCTGTTGCCAAGCTTGACAAATCGGAATTGGGCAGCAAACCAGTAGTTACAAAAACTTGCGAGCTCCTCTTTCGGGGAGACGGTCATAATCTTCCAGGTTTCATGATTGGCCGTCAGATCCTTGTGACTATGTGCTTCTTCATCATCGCTCGAGTCACCACTCTGAACGTCGACGCAGAAGCTGGCGAAGAAACTATATTCGGGGTATCCCCTGGGGTGCAGGATTTCTTCAACACTGGCTTGCTCGGTGCCATCATCACCACCACTGTCGGATCTATTACTTGGCAGTTGGTGGCCTCGGTTTTTCCTGTCGCGTTCATGCACAACCCGCTGGTGTACGTTCTATTGCGGATCTGTTTGTTCCTTGAGTTCACTGGCGTTTGCTCTGGTGCGTGGGTCCTGGCCTCGTGCCACAAGTACATGGCGCGTTTCCAGCGCGATGAATTCTACCTTGACTGCGCTGGCAGCGACAGTAAGGTCGACGTAGAAGTCGGTTCAAATGTTGGCTTTCAGCCTGGCGCGGATTCAAAGCCATCGCTGGGAACCGATCCGGGAACCTTTCACATGGACCCAGCCAAGTACATCAGCGAGGCTTGTCCAAGCACCATCGGGAAGGATCCGCAGCCGTCCGCAAGTTCGTCGTGACAGACGCTGCCCGTTGCCAACTTCAGAGTAAGCCAGTGCGGGTGAATCGTCCGGGTAGCCTTGCCCCCCAACTGGTCTGGAAGACAGGGGGCCTAATACACATGTGAGTGGTCTTTCAATATGTCTGAAACCTTGACAATAATCGTTGCCTCGAATGCCACAATTAAGCCTTCAGGGCCAGCCAGCCTGGCCAGCCAGCCCGCCGCAGTTTCCGTCCGGTCCGGTAGCGACGGCCTCGTTGCCCCCGCGGCGGCGCTGGGCCTGCCCGATGCGTCGGCGAGTGTAAAAAGCCACTGCACGGCCTGTTCGACCCGCTGACTAATACCTTTGCTCGCCACGCAGAGAATTCAAGAAGAACAAACGCCATAATCATGAACTTTTGGCGCTCCGCGCGGATTTCTTGGATCCGCGCTGGGCTTGGCCGATGCGTCGGCGAGTGTACAAAGCCACTGCACGGCCTGTTCGACCCGCTGACTAGTACCTTTGCTTGCCACGCAGAGAATTCAAGAAGAACGATCGCCATAATCATAAACTTTTGGCGCTCCAGGCGGATTTCTTGGATCCGCGCTGGGCCCTCCCAGCGGCGCCCTCCAGCGTCGCCCCTGGCGCGTTCCGCGCGCCAGGGAGGGGGGTCCGGCGCAGATCCAAGAAATCCGCACGGAGCGCCAAAAGCGCATATTTAAGGTGATTTTCTTCTAGACAAGGGTCCCGGAGGAAGGGGTTCCTGAGGCTCTTCTTTGTTGTCGGGTTCTCGGGGCCTGCAGGAAGAGCCTTGGAAATCTGGACCCCCTCCTCTCCTAGACCGTGCGCTTTATCCTCCCGCTGCACGTCCGAGTCCTACATGGTCCTACTTTTCCTCCTCTTTCTTTTCCGTGCCTTCCCGTGAGGGGCGAGACGAAGGGGCCGGACGAATTGTGCGCTTCCGGGATGGGGGTCTTGATCAGGGGTGCGAGACGGAGGTGGCTGCGTGAGGCTGGATTTTCTGAGTCGGTGTTGGAGGGTGCCGCGGAGATCGCTGCGGCCACACATCGGGGTATGCTTTTTGTGAAGGGTTGACATGCCTCTTCCCATCCCCCCCCGTGCTCTGCGATGTAGACGCGGCTCATGCCAATGCATGTCCAACATGGCCACAGTCATGCTTCTGTTGGTCAGGCTTTGGTTGCCATGCCACCACCACCATAAGTTGGAGGGGGGAAGAGGAGGAGGAAGAGGAGGAGGAGAAGGAGGTGAAGGAGGTGGAGGAGGAGCAGGAGGAGAACCCCCTCCCCCTCCAACTTGTGGTGGTGGTGGTGGAAAGCAGGCCTGTCATGTCTCTGTTGGCCAGGGCTCGGTTGCCGCGCAACCAGACGGGGGCGAGACGAGGAGACGAGGAGCCTCTGCTCCTGGACCAGCAGGGGCCCGACGACGGGGCCTCGCGCCCCTGGCCCGTCCCCGCCCTCGGAGGGCGTGCGCGCCCCCGCGCGCGCGCGCGAAAGTGGAGCCTCCTCCCCGACGTCGGCCTGACGTCCGCCGTCTTCCCGGCTCACGTCACCAACGGCTTCCTGTCCTTCCCCAGCTTCCCGCAGTCTTCGGGGGAGGGGCGGCGTTCGTCACCGAGCGCGTTCCGCTGCTCGCAGAGTGCCTGCTCGCAGGCGCCCGACAAGCATGCGTCCGCTTTGTTGTAGTTTGCCGCAGGTGCCCCGCGGGGGATCCAGGCCATTTGCGGGTAGTTGCTTCGCGAGTAGTGGAACGCACTCATCCAGTTCGAGGTTCGTGGACGGAGGGTTCGAGGACGGGAAGGGCAGTTTTCCGCCATGGGGAAGACGCTGCCGCGCAGCGAGTGTCTTCTTTCAGTCCGACCTTCCATCCCGTCGGGTGTGGGACGACGTTCGCGCGGCGATGTTTCGACGTATTTCCGACGCACCTCTGACGCGAATCCGATGTAAATGCGATGTAAATCCGACGTTCTGCCGCTGCAAATTGGGTCTCATGTTGCTGCGCGAGGCCTCCAGGGGTTTCTTCAGAGCTCTGGAGGTTCGATAAGGGAGGTTAGAGGGCGGAGGCTCGAGGGTTTCTTCACAACGTTGCAGGTGCGAGGACGGAGGCTCGAGGGTTCGCTCTCTGAACGTCTCTGCTCGTCCTCCCGCGCCCTCGGGGCCGCGGCCGGATCCATCTCGAGATTCTGGTCTGGGGCGCTGCGTCAGGGGGGGCGATGAAATGCGGGGGTGAAGAGAGTGCACCTCTTGTGCCCGAAAGTGGTTCCTAGGACACAAAAGGGGCGCGAAAGGTGCACGTTTCTCCTCGCAGTGTGTGGCCCACCCACTAAGCAACGCCGATGGTCGGAACGTGCACAACGAGAGGTCTAGTGGTTGACCTTTGACCACTGAGCAGGTCCAGCGAGGGGCAGGGATATGGCTTCCCTGGCGTTTTCGGACGTTTTCATTGTCTGTTGGAGGTTGTCTCGCTTCTGGATACCTTCTGCAGCTGCGTCTCGATGAAAATTTGTTGGCGGTGTCCGGACTGTCCCGAACGGCCGTAGGATGCTGGAGTTGTGGCCCGAAAGCACCAGGTGTCGAGAGGGGGTGAGGACCACGAATGCGTGGATGTCATGGCTGGAGCCACGACATCGGCCACTTAATCGCGTCGCTCATTCCGCTGGCTAATATATTACTCCACTGTTGCTACAGAATGAAGGAGGATCGGGGATTCGATAGAGAAGGAGGAGGAGGAGGAGGAGGAGGAGGAGGAGGAGGAGGAGAAGGAGGAGGAGGAGGAGGAGGAGGAGGAGGATGTCTCTCGACGGCTTCTTGGGGCACTGTGGGGACCACACTGGGTCGCGACCAAGACGCCTCTTTGGAAGGCCCCTTTGCAGCACTTTTGGAGCCTCCTGGAGCCTCTTGGGGGCCTCATGAGGCATCCTTTTGGGCTTCGGGGAGCATTTTAAGGGCTTCTTGGGGGCCTGCTGGCGGTCTCGCGAAGGCCAATTTCGGAGGACAGCTTGACATGTCTGTTCGGGTTCACCCTCTTGGGGCCCTCATGGGAGCCTCTGGAGCCCTCTGGGGAGGCCTCTGGGGCCCTTCTGGGCCGTCCTGGGCCGATCGTGGAGGCCTCTTGGGCCGTCCTGGGCGGTCGGAAGCTTGAAAAGGCGGTAACGCCAAAATCTCCCAACCACTCCAGCAAAATGAATGAATGGTGCCTCTTCGGGCCCTATTGGGTTCGTCTCCGAGCACTCCCGGGGCGTCTTGGGCGCCTCCTCCTCCTCCTCCTCCTCCTCCTCCTCCTCCTCCTCCTCCTCCTCCTCCTCCTCCTCCTCCCCTCGTGGGACCAACTTGGGCCCTCTTGGAACGCTCTTGGTCTAAGGCCCTGGGGCCTGCCGCCAATCTGGCGCCTCCCTGGGGCGCTCCGGCGCTCCTGGGGCGCTCCTTGGGCGCTCCGGAGGCCCCCATGGCAGGGCCGCGCCCGGGAGCTCTGGCACCCGAGGCCAGACTCGCTAGGGTATTTTTCGCGCGCGCGCGAGCGCCGGGAACCTGCTCGGTCATTTTTCGCGCGCGCGAGCCAGAGGCATTCTGAAACGCTCACCAGTGGTTTTGGCACGCCTCTGTCCCGTTGGGCCGGCGACTTTTTTCACCATACGGTGAGCGGCTTGAATAAGGAACACCTACTTTTCAAAAGGGGTTCGGTCGTTTCTCAGGCTTGCATGCATTATTGTTCGTTCTTTATGCGTTATTCATTATTCATCGTTCCTTATGCATTATTTGTTGGAGAAAAGGGGCTTCGTTACTTATTTGTCGTTCCTTTGGTCAGGCCGATGACTGTACAATCCCTGCCCTGCCCCCCCTCGTCCCTGCGCATGCCGTGGGTCGTGATGATGCGCTAGTCGCCCTCTTCCTGCACCCCCCCCTCGAAGGCGCACCCGAAGTTTTCCCACCGCCTGGGCCCGAATGCCGACGCTCGAGGATGATAGGGCGACAAGATCTATACATATCCACTGCTCCTTGCAAAGCCCATCCTGGGCCCAGGACTTAGTATCGCTCGGACGTGTGCACTTTTCTCGGCGGGGATGATTAAGGAGCATCCTGGATCATCCTGTGAGAAAACACGCACGAAACCAAAACAAAAAAACAGGGAA